TCTTGCTGTCTCCCATCAGTGGTCCATTCAACAGTTAGATGTCAACAATGCTTTTCTTAATGGGGATCTGAGTGAAGAAGTTTATATGGTACAACCCCCAGGATTAAGACACATCTTTAGTTTGCAGGCTTCACAAGTCTTTATATGGCCTGAAACAGGCCCCTAGATCCTGGTTTCACAAGCTGACAACAGTCCTTTACAGTGCTGGTTTTAAGCAAAGCAAGTGTGATCCTTCTTTGCTTATCTTTACATCTTCTGGAGTGCTCATATATGTTCTAATCTATGTTGATGACATCCTTGTCATCGGAAATAACCCTCCAGCTATTCACAAGCTCATTAACAAGCTGAATTCCTCTTTCTCTCTCAAAAACTTGGGAGACATTGATTTCTTTTTAGGAATCCAGGTTCAGAAACTTTCAGATGGCAGCCTACACCTTTCTCAAGCAAAGTATATTAGAGATTTACTCAATCAAGTTGGTATGAAAGATTCTAAGGGAGTTCAGACTCCTATGATCAGTACCTGCAAGCTTACTCACACAGGGAAAGCAGTGAAACATACACTACGCTATCTTTCTGGCACCACTACACATGGAATTATTATAAAACCCATCCCTCTATCCACTATGCCTCTACCCATTTCAGCATTCTGTGATGCTGATTGGGTCTCTGATCCTACTGACAGAAGGTCTACATCAGGTTCTTGTACTTTTCTTGGTCCAAATATCATTTCTTGGTGGTCCAAGAAACAGTTGCGTGTTTCCAGATCCTCAGCAGAAGCTGAGTATAGAAGCATGGCTGATACTGCAGCAGAACTCATATGGGTTCAGTTCCTCCTTCATGAACTCCAAGTTCCTTTTGCTACTCCAAGAATCTTTTGTGACAATCTAAGCACAGTTCAACTGGCTCATAACCCTGTCCTACACTCTCGCATAAAGCACATGGAGATTGATCTATTCTTTGTACGGGAGAAAGTCCAACTCAAGCAACTGCAAGTTTTTCACATTCCTGCTCAACACCAACTACCTGATATTTTGACTAAGCCCTTGTCTGCTTCTTCTTTCATTGACTTAAGAACCAAACTCAGTGTGACTACTCCTTCAGCTCCATCACCCTGAGTTTGAGGGGGGGGGGGGGATGTTAGATATAATACACCGTTTGTAATGACTTTAAGTCAGTTAGTATTCAGTTAGTTGATTAGTTTAGTTTAGCTGTAGCCCTCTATATAAATACTCTGTACACTTGCTTTGCTTGATTAGTGAAATCATTACATTCATCATTCTCTCTACCTCTGAATTCTATTAAGTTACAATGACATCAACGGTTCACAATATGTGTAGTTTTTTTAAAGCAGGCTTGCATCTTTTCCTTGTAGGCTGCAAAGGATATTGTGCTAGCTGAAAAGCCTGTGATCAGTGATGATTCCAACCAACTTGACCCTTCTCTTCTAGATGAACTTCTTGCCAATATTGCTACACTATCCTCTGTTTATCATAAGCCCACAGAGTCATTTGTATCTCGTATGAAGATCACTCATAAATCAGAGGAGGAGGAATTTCCTGATGGGGCTGAGGCAGGGTACTCTGAATCTCCTGCTCACCCAAATGAAAGTGGTGCTTCAACGCCAGCTGCATCAAGTAGTTCTCCCTATAATAACCTACCAGGGCAGGCACCAGCTGGATCTGCAGCTCCTACAGTTGTGCCCGATTTACTTGATCTGGGAGTGGAAAGTAACAACTCTGCTATTGTTCCGGTTGATCAACCCTCAATACCTGCTAGGTATATGTAACTGTCGTGATGTTATATTAAATTGCTAATAAGGACAAAGATAGTTTCTTGAAATTGTTGTTACAAAGCATAAATACAACCTTGAGCTTTTAAGTTTTCTTAAAGCATCTTTAGTTAGTAAATAAATATATAAACAAGTAACCTTTTGATGCAGACAGGGGATGGTATATGGACCGCATATAACTTAGATGACATTTATCATGGAGTATTGATTTTGATTGCAGGATTTCTCTGCCTGTTGTATTACCAGCATCTACTGGTCAAGGATTACAAATCAGTGCACAAGTGATACGAAGAGATGGCCAAGTATTTTACAGCATGTTCTTTGAGAACCACTCCCAGATTGCACTTGATGGATTCATGATTCAGTTCAATAAGAACACTTTTGGTCTTGCTGCTGCTGGACCACTTCAGGTGTTAACTCCCCTTCCTCTTTTCAAGTGGGAATTTTTTATTTGATCTTTTGACTTATGCTGTCATTTCATTTGCTCTCCCATCTTGGTCTTGAAGTGAACAAGTGTGTGTCCAATAGGTACCACAATTACATCCAGGGACATCGGCAAGCACTCTGCTTCCAATGGTGTTATTCCAGAATCTTTCTCCAGGCCCCCCTACCTCACTTTTGCAAGTTGCCGTGAAAAACAATCAACAGCCAGTGTGGTACTTTAATGATAAGATCTCATTTCATGTATTCTTTATTGAGGATGGGAAAATGGAGCGATCAACTTTTCTTGAGGTAACCCCAACCCTATCTAGCAAAGTTACTGATGTAAAAGCTAACTGTATTGGCGACTGTAATATTTTTCGATCTACTAGTAGATATATAAATTCTAAATATAATGCACAGCTGACTTCTGAAATCCAGTTATGCAGTTTACCCTGCATTTTTTGTGACTTTTCCTGATGCTTCTATGATTTACTTCTATAAAAATTATTATTATTACAGATTTTTTCATAGATGCAATGCACTTTAATGGTCCGTCAGGAGCCTGATAGATGACAAATCCTTTTCCCTTCAATGTGCAGACATGGAAATCATTACCTGATTCAAATGAGATCTCAAGGGACTTTCCGGGGGTCGCTATAAATAGTGTTGACACAACCATCGAGCATTTAGCCACATCCAACATATTTTTCATTGCCAAGAGGAAGCATGCCAACCAGGAGGTGCTGTATCTTGCTGCAAAGATCCCTCGGGGAATCCCTTTCCTGATTGAGCTGACAGCTGTCATCGGGATTCCGGGACTTAGATGTGCAATGAAGACTCCTAGCCCAGATATGGCTCCATTGTTTTTCGAAGCCATCGAGGCTCTCCTCAAGAGTTATTAACAATTTATTTATGGTCTTTTCACTCTTTGGGTGTGGCTGATGTCCCATTTCTTGATGCCTTTATTTTAGTTAGTGGTCTTCCCGATTTTTTGTTTAGTTTTCTCTTTCAAGTTCAATTTCATTACCTTCAGATGTCAACACTTTCAGTAGATTTCTATTCTTTAAGGCCTTGTGTGTAAAAAATGAATACATGTAGCTTAACTGCCTGGAACATAGAAATTATATATCCTATTAAATAATATCAGGGGGTATAAAGGATTTGAGTCGTACTGAGTAGCTCTTGGTTGAATGGATGAAACTCTCCTTGGTCGGGTAATGCTAAGCTCGAGCTTAGTTGAGCTTCAATTTTCTGAGATTGAGCTCAGTTAAATCTTGGATCAACTCTTTGGCAAAAAGTAAAAACGGTGAAACAAATCTAACACCAGAAATTTTCCAATTTGTCTTGATGTAAATCTGCAATGCCCTGTGTTTTATGTTTCTTAGAGTTTATTCAATATCCATATCAAAATTTGATTCCACCATAACTTAAAATAAATTATAATGCCATTTTATATCTACATCAAATTTGATACTTTTCACAAATTCAAATGAAAGCAATTGTTCTACTTTGTGTGTTCATTCACTAAACTCGGAAATCGGAATCTCTTAAATTTGTAACGGAAGTAAAGTACATATATAAAACATATATCATGAAACATATGTACCATAGTTACTCTGATTGTTTAAAAGATGAGACACATGTTCATTTTCGTACAAAGGGAAAAACTGATTGTTAGTTTATGAGGTAAGGGTCAGATTGGTCCTCAAAATTGCATAAAAAGGGTCAAATAAGTCCTTGTATAGGAGGCTCTATCTGGCCGTCGCCATTCGGGTGGTTCCCGGTGAAATTTTTTTATGATTTTTTTGAGCATCTTATTCATTAAGTCTAGTTTACTCATACCAAATTTCAGCTAAAACTTCAATCGGGAAGACATTCAAATGAAGTCTTGAAGATAACTGCACAGTTAAAAGTACAATTACCTTCAAGAATTCATTTGATTGCCTTCCCGATTGAAGTTTTAGCTGAAATTTGGTATGAGTAAACTAGACTTAATGAATAAGATGCTCAAAAAATTTCATTAAAAAATTCCACCGGGAACCTCCCCAAATGGCGACGGCCGGACAGTAAGGACTTATTTGACCCTATGTAATTTCAAGAACCAATCTGACCCATATTGGGTGTGAAAGTGGAAGTAAACTGTAAAACCATGATTGAGAAGGTGAATACTGTTAGTTTGATGCAAGGTTATTGGAATCCAAACTTGCCCTATAGGCTATAGTTATAAGAATTTACGTGGGGGTTTATGGCTTCCACTATATCCCTCCCAGAGAGAGCAACAACCATGAAAATAATATGGGTCCTAACTGTATTAACGACAATAAAATTTGTCAATAGATAAAGAAATTTGAAATGTGATGCACAACTGACTTCTGAAAGGTGGTTCTGTAATCAAGCCCAGCAACCTAAGGTTAAGGAAATTTTGTATGGCAATTATTACACTACCAAACAGAGACCATATTTTACTTTTTTGCGGGACAAGGCTGGCATTCAAGATAGGATTTTTCAGAATGAACAGGTCACTGAATTGTACGTACTGCGTACTTCATAGTAGTAACTGTTTCATTTCTTGCATAGGGTGGTGCACATGTTACGAGCGGAATCCAACAGTTGTGCTAGAGATGCTTCATTCTACACGTGAATATGACATACTACAGTCTTTTATTGTTAAATCATTGAATAAAACTTCTCAAGTTTCGGAATAAAAAGATCTCTGTTTCTTCCTATTACGATGAATCGGTAGATGTGTCTTGGCATCAGATCATTGTACAATACTACTGTATAACAAAACTGAACCATGTGTGTGTGTGCATTATCAATGTGGTAACTAATCTGAATCCTCTTTAAATAATTTGGTATACTTTTACAATAAGACGTTTATACTTGAGTGTGACAGAATCAAATGACAAAACAATGTAATACACTGACGTAAAAAACCCCTACTGATTTTGGTGGTTTGCCTTCCGGGTTAAAAAAAAAAACACTGAAGTATAAATTCAAATATAATCCATCTGCACAATTTTCCTTGCAAGAAACTTTCCCAAGAAATCATAACCATGGAAGTAGAGAGCTTCAATCTCTGCCCTCCTTTCATTCTCAACCATCGATGCCAATTCTTCTTTGTAATTGTCCTGCACCAAACAAATTCACCAGTCAACAACATCTAGTGGCCAGGTTCATGGGGGGGGGGGGGGGGGGGGGGGGGATCTTTGAAGTTATACCTGCAAAACCTCTGACGATAGCAAGCTTTTTGCTATCTGATGATCTCGCTGCTTCAGTGGGACTAATGATTCTTCCGGTACCAGTTTCTCTATGTCATCCTTTCGCAACCCCAGCCACTTTACATTGCAAGCTGTTAGATTGGGGCGAAAGCCAAATCAAATCCTATCCGATTGAACAGATTGTTCTGACACCACATCTAATGAAAAAGGCAAAAATGGAACCATATCGAAAAGCTTCCAGGCCCATCCCTATGCTTCCATACTTGAATGTACACAGTATGGCCAGGCCAGCTGGGTTCCTAAAAATCATTTTAGAAGAAGATGCAAATGAAGTATGTGTGTTGCTCAAGTGGAAGCAGAAACACCATCAAGGAAGTAATTTAAATACCAGTCCACCAAACCCAGTATTGGGATGCCAAAAAGTTCCCTACTCATCCTATGAAGAAGAAACCTGTGCAATTGCAAAATAACCCATAAGTATCAGCTCTCAGTTTTGTACGTACTAAGAATTAAAGTTGAGTAGTTAAAGAGGATGCATTGGGGCTATAACTTAAGCATTCAAGACGAAAGAAGAACAAACGCTTTACTTGTAGTTTCAGCTAAGTTTTACCTAGTGGCAATATCAGGATACCCCTTTGCAGTGATTAGAATGCACGGGATTTGATTGAAAATGCGATCCTCTGTGAGGCGGTGAAATATAGCATGCTGCAAATGCACCAGTTTCAACGAATGGCAGCATTCTTTGAAAAAAAAAAACTCACCTCGGAATGTGTACAAGCAGATACCTTTTCAACTACAATGATATACCGGGCATCCGACTTCAAAACTAATTTTTCCAGCACGCTCAGGTCTCCAGAAATACCATAACCAGATGATCCACAAGCAGAGCAGTCCACAAACACTTGGTTTGGCTCCTTTTTTTAGAAATGAGTAAAAGTAAGATGATCCCATCTCATAATCATCTTTTAAAAATACTTGCGAAGAAGTTTCTAAATCTGATTCCTTTCGAAGTTTCCACAACATTTCAGTGAGTGTCTAAAAAAACTAGCAAAAAGTCTAGGATAATCATCATACAATACAATACGATAATACTAATTCCATAGTATAGTCAATAAACATTAGCAAGTTAAGTCTGAAGTGAATAAATATGTTTTCAGGCGGCAAAGGAGGGTAAGAGCTCAATGCCTGTAGCAAAAGTCGGCCAGAAACTGCTCCTCTGCTGGATGCCATTATTCCAAGACTGTAGCGACTACACTGAAGCAATGCTACCAAATCTTAAATTTTCAAAAGCACTATGTGAATGCACTGGATGTCACATAGATTTAAACTATCATAATGGAAATAAATACATAAATGATATTTTAACCTTGGATTGTGCTGTTGACCTGCAACTGAGTTTTGAAATACTCTTGTGAATCACAAAGAAGCTTGTAGAATAGTTCTCTTTGGGTCACTTTTTTCCCTTCTTGATTTAAAACTTGGTAGCACATCTCCATAACCTTCCACACTTCAATAGGAAAAAGATAAATGTAATATCATAATACCTGAAATTAGTCAAATACGGATCATTTTATGTCGTTACCTCTTACAAAAGACTTGGCAGTATTCTCCCTCATTAACGAACGCGTACAGTATGAATGAGAGAGAAAAATAGATGACTCATCACTCAAAAGTCCTCGACTCACTCTGCTATTACTCGAACTTCTACTAATCTGCTTCATATAAAAAACAGCGAAGAGAAAACGGCAACAAGAAAACATTATCTCCATAATTTAGATAGACTAAGTGTATGTGTTACACACTCACGACAAATAGCTATTTCCATGGAATATAGACACTCCAGAAAAAATATCAATTCAGATAATGTCCTCAAGGTTGGGAGAGAAAATCATACCAGAGGAAGATCGGAGATTGAAGGGGAGCTAGAAGTTAGGGATCTGAGGAAATTTAGGACTGCAACCTCGATTCTAGCTCGAATCTGTACAGATACATTTCGGAATCTGTAATATATATACGCACATACATATATGGAGAGAAATGACAAAGAACCTGCGAGGGAGGGAGAATATCGGCGTAGCAGAGATGTTGATGGGAGAATAAAATGGATGATTTTGAAAGATCTCCCATCGCAAAATATGGCGTCTTCTAGCTCGCGCGCAAATTTGTAAACACCAGTTAGTTACCTTTCCGCGCAGGTCAAAGGACCTCTTGATTTTTTCATTTAAACAACCTCAAAATTAAATAGAAAAATTGATGGTAATAATCCCAACTATCAATTATTTTAGAATAATTCTAACTTTAGGAATCTTCCGCCAATAATGGTACGACGTGACCAACTATAAATAAATTCCTATAGTTTCTAAAGAGATATAGCATATAATCCATATAAATAATCCCAAATTTTAATTTTTACGATTAATTTCTATTAAAAATTCAGTTGTTAGTGAGAAAGTTATACCGCTCAATTGTTAGCAAGCTTAACTTCTAATACCTAAAAGCACTAATCTTATACATAAAATGGAAGAGAAAGTTATCCTGCTCAATTGTTACCAAGCTTAACTTCTACTACCTAAAAACACTAATATGAGAGAGCAAATTCTCCTCCTCAATTCCCCCAATCAATTGTTAGTGTATCTTCTAATGCCTAAAAGTACTACATATTTTAAGACGATGACATTTTTTTTAATAAAACACGATATTTTATTATGTGACATTTTTTAGAAGAAAGTATATGTAATTATTCACCCATAATAGCAATTTAATTTCCCAGTAAGATAGGAAGGAACATATTTAGAGTAGACTTCTAATTATATCTGCCCCATTTGCATATGAAAAAACAATTTTTGTTTCAGAACTCTCTATCCACTTTTTCCAACTATAAATTGTGCAATTGGACCAATTGTAACATGCAGTTAATTTCCTAGAGATTTTAATATCTAATATTAATAAAATTGCTTACCTCTTGTCACGTACGTACTAATCAATAAAAGAGTGTCACAAATGATAAAAATGTAAGTTTGATATCATTGATCCATTTGAAAAAATATTAAACCAAAAGCATAGATTTTTCAAATAAACATTACTTCCGTCCCATAAGTTGATAAATTTTAATAATGCGGAGAGAGTGATATAAAATATATTACATAATATACTATGTAATAGAAAACAAATTATGCAAAAAATATATTTTTCCTATTATAGAATATTTGACCGAATAGAATGTTATATTAATGGAGTATAAATGCTTTTAAACTGATAAGGCTAAAAAATTAAATTTCCGATACATTAATAAATTATACTCCGTACTATGTAATAGAAAACAAATTATGCACAAAATATATGTTTTCTATTATAGAATTATGTGACTATTATAACACTCTATATTGTTCTTATTTTGTTCATATATTAGAAATCATTTATTTATTTAATGCCGAATAAGTTGTGTCGAGGATTGATAAAACTATTCTTTTCTTATATATAGATAGATAAATAGTTGAATTTTTTGAATCACATAAATTGGATATCTTCTTCATTTGGAATGTTATTTAGTTCTATTTGGTAACACTGAAATTGTCTGAATCTACCGAAGTTGATGACGTTTTTGCTCAATTTCCTTAATTATAAAATATATGTTACAAATATTTATTTCAGAATATTTATTTCAGAGGTTTTCACTTAGGGTCACTTTGATATAATTTTAAACATAATTATAGTCACTAAATATTAATAAGTCATATTTTTATCCATTATTTTTTTGTCATATATTAGGAATATTTATTTGTTTAATACGGAATGCTCCGTATTGAGGTCGGAAAATAGAAAGGTTGTCTAATAAATCTTCAGTTTTTTTAATTGTTCATATGCAATATTGGTGTCATATAAATGATAGTAAAAAATTATGAATTTTGATATATTTTTTATAAAAATTAGAGGAAAAATGAAAAAGTTATACCACTTTGAAGAAAATGGTATTTTTTTAATACAACAGGTCCCATGAACTGATGTCACGTTATTTTACAAATGCTTAGATTGAATTGTGTTCCATATAAGTCCTTGAGGTTGCCACGTGGCATTTGTAGAGTAAAGGAGAGAATTGTAGGGAAAAGAGCACATATGCTTTAAAGAGGGTAAAATGGTCTTTGGAAGATCTATTTATTTTCTTATATATAAATAGATTAGAATTCAAGTTACTTTGATACTTACTACAAACGGACAAAATTTTGATTCAGAACTAGGGTCATGTTCAAGTGTTCAACTACGCAATAAAAATTTGATAACCCTCTATCATTTCTACAGAACCACGAGCAATGCTCGTTGATTTTATATCACTTTCATCATCAAATATATTATTGTAAACATACATTCTAGGAGTGAATATGAACAATCATTGTTGTAAAATGTGAACCCTAACTTGTAGCTACCGGTTGCGCTAAACAACTTTATTGATTCAATCATCCCCAATCATCACGTTCATGTTTTTTTAACGAAACTCGACATTTTTTACAAAAAGATACCAACATTTTAGTAATCAAAGAAATTATCCACCAACTTCCTTTTTGGGTAATAGCCACAATAACTAATTGCAATTGTTGAGAAAAACAATGAATATATCTGATCTTGTATATGGAATTTCATTTAAGATATGAGTTTTCAATGCACTACGCTTACCACTAAGGATGGACTCGGGCCGGGTTAACCGGCCCATAACCGACCCAAACCGGTACTGTTACGACCCGGATTGGCCCGGTACCCGGTTGTGTGCCCGGTTCAGGCCACCCGGCCCGACACTCTAGAGGGGCGGTTCGCGGGCCTCCCAAATCACGAACCGGCCCGGCCGGTTCAGGCCCGATTCGGACCATTTTTTTCACATTTTTAAAAGGTAAATGGATTGGGCTGGGTGTTTTGGAAGGGTTTGGGGTGTGGGGGTGGGGGGTAGGAAGTAATTAGAAAAAAAAATAGTTGGAGGCTTGGAGGTTTTGGAGCTACCCAGGCCAGTTTCCGGGCCTCACTTCTCCAAAAAAAGCTCGGTCGGAACCGGCCCGAGGCCCGGCCCGGCCCGGCCCGAGGCCCGACCCGGCCCGAACCGAGGCCCGGCCCGGCCCGGCCCGAGGCCCGACCCAGCCCGAACCGAGGCCCGGCCCGGCCCGAACCGAGTCCATGCCTACTTACCACACATATTACAAGTCTCATATTCTTGGAGGCTTGGAGGTGGTGTATAAAAGGATCAACAACAGTTGCTCAACTGTCTAATGAAGTTTGAGTTTGTTTTAGTTTTGTGACTTTGTCCTTTCGACTATGGGTACAAGTGATCACTAGAAAGTCAAGAAAAGTTTCAGGTTCCTAGGTTGGTCAGCAGTTCGAATTATTCTTTCGTAGGTAATCGAATCTATGTTTCAATTGTTCGAATTATTGTTTTTATTTTAATGTAGACGATTTTTCTTAAAAAACATTTTCTTAACAGTTGTCCTATTTAAATCATGCGCTCAAATATCAATCGCAATGTAGAAATTCCACCTGTTGTTAGTTAGTTGAGTAAAATAAAAAGGAATAGACGAGCGGCAACACAAATACTACAAAAGAGGCTTAAGACAGCCAAGTTTGAAATGGCATCGGAAGATCAACCAAGTTTTTTTGAGTTTGCACCTCATTTTCAGCCACGTTTGAGTTTGAAAGCATTTTGATAATAATTAGTTTTTGCACCCGGAAGTTTGGAAAATCTATTAAAATGGGGTGCAAACCCCAAGCAGAAGCAAAAATGGGATGGAAACATTCTTAGAGTGCAAATACAAATTATTTCGAAAATAAGATGCAACCTCAAATTTAGTTGAAAATATGGACTTTAAAATATGTAGCCGAATATACAAACTATATTTGAGAAATTTAAGGTGGAGGGGATGGGGTTTATACAAAATGGTGAGAGCATAACCAACTAATAGCCTTGCTGGGTAATTTGGGACTTCTAATAACTAACGAGTAGCATTGACTCAAAATTCGAACCACATATTCACCCAAAATTGCTCTTAGCCCCTCCCTTATGGTAAACTTCGAGTCTTTACCTCCCTAGTAGCATTGTCTCACGCTTACACTACCTGATGCATGCACTATGGCAAAGCAGATGAGGCATGAGATGTAGTAGCTGGTGCAGACTGATCTGCTATAGGAGTGGAAGTGACTCTCTTTGCAAGTATGGTCTGCAATTGCGGTGAGATTGCACTGGGGGATCTGGTAGCTTGAGCTTGCTGTGTTGGCAGAACCATGTAATGGTTGAGAGCATCATTGTATGCTTCTCCCAATAGGCTTCCACGCATACGGCCTGAGGGGCGCCAGTTTTGGTCTGACAGTGAATGCAGTGGCAAGTGTCCTCCAATATTTCCAACCATTTCGGTGCTTGTCAAGGACTCCTTAGGTACATTTGGACGAGGATGTGGTGGAGCTGTAGACAGCTGAACAGGCTTTGCCACCTGGGAGATCCGCATGGCAGCCTTTGTCGCCTGATTATGTTGGCTGTGAACGTCTCGTCTTGCCTGATGCACACAACTATGTGTAATTCCTTGAGATTGACTTGTGGCATTAAGTGGCTGCATGTTCGGTGTTCGACGCTGAGTAGTGCTTGTTGGTTCACTTGTGAAACCTGAGGGTGCTCTGAAAGGAACAGGAACTTGATTTTGACATTGTAGGTTAACAAACTGCTGCTGAGCTACGTATGGAGAACCAGAAAAAGAATAACCAGGTGGCTGCCAACATTACCACAAGAAGTAAATCAGACGAAAGACACATGGACATACATTCTGAGCTGCTATAATAAGTATAAGGGAAAAAAGAGGTCGAGTCCAAACAAGGAGTTCTTATTTGCTATAACTAGAAATAGTAACTAGGGGTGAGCATGGATCGGGGGTCCCACACTCCCACTATGTACTGAAGAACCATTGTGATTTGTGATCCATACCAATACTATCATTCATTCATCATCATTACTCCAGTGTCGCATCCATACCAATACTATAAGTACCAAAAAATGCTGTACCGGTTCTTTAGTGATAATTATACCAGAAGCATCCTTGAACCATCATCCCATATCATCCTGAATAACTGTTCATTTTAATATGTATGTGTTGTGTATATAAATATATACATATGCACATATGTTGCATATGTTGCACATGTATTCGTGTATATATATATCATATTTTCTTGGTATTTTAAAAATACTTTGATCATTTTTAAACATGTATTTTTAAACTCATGGTTGAAATTAAAAAATAGACATTTTCAAGTTCAATGTTCTACTAATGATTCACATGTTATGTATAATGTAATTAACTTTTAGAACCAGAATTTACTGAAGAACCTTCTCGGGCCAAACTGAAAATTGGTACAAAACGGGACAGGTGCTATTCGATTTTGGAAAGGTACCAGTTCCTTAGCCTTCAAAAGAACTATTACTTGGTACATAGACAGGATGGGTGTTTTAAAATACACGTTTAGTCCAGTCCCATCCATTCTCGCCCATAGTAGCAAGGGAAAAACTTACCGTCATGCCTGTTGATCTTGATAATGGTATGGAAGGAGAGTGCCGAGAAGTTCCTGAGGGGAAGGAATGAAGAGAGTTCATGGTATTTACGGGTGGCCGCAAAGGAGAGCGGGTCTGGGCAGGAAGGGCCTGAACTGCAATTGGTGTTCTACTTACAGCATATCTAGCTATTGATGGGGACCTTCCATATTCATTGTTGGCAACTGAATTTTCAAATGGGATCCGTTGTGACTGCATTGTTTTGGAAGATGCTTCACAGGCTGGAACAAGATCACTAGTCAAATTTGTCGGAGTGCGCTGAGGATCACCACCCATCTGCTTATTGATTGTAGAACTGCTCGTCTCTAAAGCATATGTTGAGTGAAGAACTCTTGACCAGAAATCCCCCATATTAAAAGAGTGCTCAGCCTCATCCAGATTGTTAGTATCAGGCTTTGGGCAGTTTTCTGCAGAAGCTATAAGATCTTCAATCGTTTCCCGCTTCAAATTAACTTCCCTGAAATCTGACTGCAATGTTTCATCCTTTGCAAAATCATCGGTTTTATTGGGTGAAGTTTGGTGATGGTCATCATCAGTTTCTATGATAGCCTTCCACGAACCATCTAAAGAGATTATCACATCATTGATGTATTCTCCAGCTTGTTCCAAAACCTTGAAAAAAAGAAGTTAATATGGAGAAAACTTAATATCAAGCAATATACAAAGTGAAATAACTTTACTACATGCCTTGGCCATAACTTGATCAATACGGATATCAGGAAAGCAGACATGTTGGTTGCAATGGGGACAGCGCCACAATGGTCGTCTTGAATTTATGTCAAGATAATTGTCATAATCAAAACACTATTGGAGAAATAAACATGTCGAGTTAGACTGCATTATTGGCAAAATAAGATCTAAAACTTGACAACATTAAACCCTTTCGAGAAAGAAACAAATTACAAAACAAAAATGAAAACAAACAACAACATTACCCCAGTGCCGCAAAGGCTCCCACCTAGGGTGGAGGGTAAGGGGGGTCGGATGTACGCAGCCTTACCTCTGTACTAAAGCACAGAGAGACTGTTTCCGGATGACGCATGATGAAAATCGCGTCGAAATTGCATGGATTGACTGATGCTTCATAACAAAGAAGCGTTTTGCTTTATTCCATCATATTCCCAAGCCAAAATATAGCGAGTCTTCGGCTCCATTGGAAATGATGGAAATAAAGAGACTTAAAGTTGAGAGGAAGATTACAAACTAAACAAAATTAAGTTACAACCCTAATACAAACAACATAAAAAGCAATTTCTGAACCAAAACGCAAAAGTGTAAACATAATCTGAAATATTTGTAACTTTTTCATTTTAATACGCTTCATAACTATCTACCTGGAGATGCTTGCATGACTGGCCTTTAACAGGAATCTTAATGCGCGTGAAGCTGAACATCCAAAGACAAAGCTATCAGCAGAGTGCTTATATATTGAAGAGACGATATATTGAATTGAATTAATCTAATTACAAGTACAGCAATATACATTTATACTAGTCTACGTGAGGATAATATTTACACCTCATGATAACTGTAATCAAGATAATAGCTATCCGTACACTATAATAGAGGAACAACAACTAGAGTTCTATGTATACATGGCTCTACATGTACGTACGTACATATTAATAATAAAATGTACATAGTAAATACATTTATGTTCCTATACGCCCCCGCAAGATGGAGGTGCCATCGGAAACTCCCAACTTGGATCGAAACTTTTCAAACAAACCACGACTCAGAGGGTTTGTTAATATGTCCGCAATTTGTAACTTAGTAGAGATATGTTGAACAGAAAGTTGTCCTTGGGCTATGAGATCACGTACAAAAAAGAAGTCCAGTGCCAGGTGCTTCATACGAGAATAGAATACCGGGTTAACACATACGTATGTGGCACCAAGATTATCACAGTATAGTGTAGGAGTTGACGGAATGGATATGCCAAGTTCACGGAGAACATTACGAACCCATAATAGTTCCGCACTAGCATGAGCAACCGCCCGATATTCCGCTTAGGTAGATGAACGAGAGACACTTTTGCTTAGCGGACTTCCAGGAGATAATGTTGGAGCCAAGATATAGTGCATACGCCATAGTGGAACGACCCTCATCCTGGATGTTACCCCAGTTGGAGTCAGAGAAAACAGACAGATGGAGTGACGGAACTCGCTGAAAAAATAAACCAAAGTGTAGTGTACCTTTTAAGTACCGGGGGATACGTTTAACAGCCTGCCAGTGAAAATCCAATGGTTGATGCATGTGCTGAGATAGGCGGTTGACAGCTAAGGAGATGTCCGGTCTGGTAAAGGCTAAATATTGTAGGAGACCAAGTGCACGTCTATACAGGGAAGGATCTTCCATGGGCTGTGAAGTAGAAGCAGAGTCTAGGATGGATGCGCTCATTGGTGTAGCAGATTCTTTTGCCCCAGACATGTGACATGTAGCTAGAATATTGATGATGTACTGTTGCTGAGACAAAAATAGGCCGGTAGCGGTAGGTATAACCTCGATGCCTAAGAAGTGATGTAATGGTCCAAGGTCCTTGACTGAAAAAACGAGTGGTGAGACGCTCAATGAAAGAGTTCAGGGCAGATGATGAGTTGCCAGTAAGAACTATATCATCTACATACACCAAAAAATATATAAGCGTAGACTCATGTGAGTAGATGAATAAGGAGTTATCTGTTTGTGACTTGCGGAACCCCTGGGAGAGTAAAAAATTGGACAATTCTTGGTACCAAGCCCGAGGGGCTTGCTTCAGTCCGTAAAGGGCTTTCCGAAGTCGACATATGTGATTGGGTTGATCTTTGTCAATATACCCGGGCGGTTGAGTCATAAAGACCTCCTCATGTAAGGAACCATGCAAAAATGCATTATTAACATCAAGTTGCGGAAGTTCCCACCGATGGGATAAGGCAATAGTCAAGATGATCCGAACCGTGGCCGGTTTAGTGACCGGACTGAAGGCTTCAGTATAGTCACGGCCGTACTGTTGAAGGAACCCACGAGCCACAAGTCGTGCCTTATAGCGTGCAATGGTACCGTCAGCATTTCGCTTGACTCGAAACAGCCACTTACAGGAGATAGGTGAGGGTCCAGTGCGGGGTACAAGATCCCATGTGCGGTTGCATTGAAGGGCATCAAATTTGGCATCCATAGCGGCTTTCCAACGAGGGTCATGCAAGGCTTGAGTCACACTAGTTGGTTCCAGACTACTGGGAAGCGGGTGAGGAGATGTGGGATTAATAAACGGACCACCAATATATTTGGGATTAGGTATTTTGGTACGGGAAGGCCGAGTAGGTAATGGCGGAGGGGGTTGATATCTGGCGTAGGATTGGGAAGAGAGGCAGTAGATAAATCTGGAGAGAGATGATTACTAGATAAAGAGGTATGGGTGGAATTAGATAAGTGGGGGGTTGGGGCGGTGGGTTGTGTGATGGACTGGGACATGGTATTAGATGATGATTGATGGGGTGAACTAAAGAAAGGCAGAGGTTGTAAGGGACAGAGAGTTGACCGAGGCATGCAGGACGTGGGTACATGTGTAGAAGGCTGTGAAGACTGAGGGTTACGCAATGGGAAAATATGGGGGATAAACCTGACATGCCGAGATACAAATAGACGATTGTGTGCTAGAGATAAACAAAGGTAAGTCGACTGAGACGTGGAGTACCCAACAAATACACAAGGTTCAGATCGGGCACGTAGCTTGGTGGCTGAATATGGACGAAGCCACGGATAACAAAGGCATCCAAATGGTTGTAGTTTTGTGTAGTTGGGGAGGGACTGGAAAAGTCGGTAGTATGGGGTGTCATTTTGGAGGGTGGGGGTAGGGAGACGATTTATGAGATAGACGGCAGTTTGGAATGCATATGGCCAATGGTGTAGAGGAAGCCCGGAGTAGTGAAGTAGGGCGAGACCGGTGTCAACAATATGACGATGACGGCGTTCGGCAATACCATTATGCTCGGGAGTATGAGGTGGAGTGGTAAAGTGAGATATACCATGTTGATTGAGATATGAGCGGAGTTTAACATATTCACCGCCGTTATCCGAAAATAAGGCGGTAATAGTAAGATTAAAACGCTTCTCAACCAAACAATGAAATTGCGGGAATATAATGGACACTTCTGATTTTTGTTTTAGAGGAAATAGCCATATATATCGGGTAAAGTAGTCAACAAAAACGACATAATATTGATGACCATCAAGTGATTTGTTGGTAGTACTCCACACATCAGAATATAACAGTTCAAGAGGCCTAGTAGCATTCATAGTATTGTTAAAGAAAGGCAACTTGGTGCTTTTATTAATAAAACACGACTGACAATGATACTCTCGAGATAAATTACAAGAGGACAATTGCTTATTCTGATGAATTGAAAGATTAAAAATGCGACGTGATGGGTGGCCGAAAATGTGATGCCAATCAGGAAATGCTGAATGCTGTGTGACATGCATTTGTGGCCGAGAATAAGAGGATGACTGGATATGGGATGGTGTATAGTAGACGTCATTAATGTTCGTCCCTCGCATTAGTGGTGCCCCCGTGACTTGATCATTGACAAGGAAATACAAAGAAAAAAATTCCACAGACGAAACATGATTAGTTTTGCAAAGTTTAGCAACTGACACAAGATTTTTGTGAATACTTGGAACACATAAAATATTGGATAATGACAGAGAGCGGGTATGGGTAGGAAGTGTAGTGGAACCAGTGTGAGTAATGGTAAGAGTCTTACCGTCACCAAGATGAACCTCATCGGGGCCGCCATAGTCCGTATAAGAAGGCAGTGTAGATGCATCAGAAGCAACATGGTGAGACGCACCACTATCAAACAACCAAGGTTGTCCAGCAGAAGAGGATGATCCAGTTGTGTGATTTACGGCAGGAGATGTATACGGAACATGATTGTCTCGTAAAAGTCGTTGCAATTTACGGAAGCTTTTGACATCATGACCGATATTGTCACAGAATCTGCATATAATGGGATTATTAGGTGGACGTGATGATGTACCGAAGGAGCCCCCTCGGCCACGACGTGCATGTTGAGACCTGCGATCATTGGCCGAGGGGGACGGCGTTCACCAGTTGCATGCGGACGTTCAGGAACGTGAGTAGCATGGGCAGTAGACAGAAGCTGGGACGTGACAGTGGCTTGCTCACGATTTTTGGTTTCTTGTTCAAGAAGAATATCCTGTAGGGCAGTGAGTGGAAGAGCAGTTTCACGGACCCTTATGGCAGACGTGAGATCATTATATTCGGGACCAAGGCCATTAAGAATGTTGATGACCAAATCTTCCTCCGATTGTGGACTTTGGGTGAGAGCCAAAGCTTCAGACAGAGCATATATCTCAGTGCGATATTCAGTAATGGATCGAGTGCCACGAGTAGTACGGGCAAGCGTGGTCTTAAGAGAAATAATACGGCCGCGAGATGTGCTGGCATAGGTAAGTGTAAGCTTCTCCCAAGCTTGATGGGCTGTTGTAGCAGATGAGAGAAGTGGTTGGATCGTCTCGGAGCAGCTGCAGAGGAGTTCGCTGATGATGGTTTTATCCTGGTGGTACCATATCGTATAACATGGATTTGTTTGGGTTTTGGCTGCATCAGTGAATTGAGCCGGTGGAGTGAAGGTACCATCAACGTAGTAGTCAAGACCAAGTCCAACCAAAGCATTGTGAACTTGACATTTCCACACCGGAAAATTGGATGCTGTAAGCTTGATCGGAAAATGAGTGGCAGCAGTGATGGATATAACAGCGGTGGATTCAGTGATAGTCATCGTGAGGACGATGAAATCGAAAAAAAAATATGAGAAGCTCGTTAGAGATAGGGCTCTTGATACCATGAAGAGATGATATATTGAATTGAATTAATCTAATTACAAGTACAGCAATATACATTTATACTAGTCTACGTGAGGATAATATTTACACCTCATGATAACTGTGATCAAGATAATAGCTATCCGTACACTATAATAGAGGAACAACAACTAGAGTTCTATGTATACATGGCTCTATATGGTATAGTAAATACATTTATGTTCCTATATATATTACATCCAGGATTGAGACAAAGATGTATATCTTTAAGAAAGGTGAACACATAACATGATAACATTCATAATTAGTATGAGAAATGGAGAAGAGAGAAAGAGGAAGTAAGAGTCTAAGAAGTAAGAAATAAATACAGAAAGAAACAAAGATGTGAGAAAAAGACTGAATGTTATGTGCTCATGGTATATGCACACTACTGGTATAGTGATATGTCGTAAAACCAGAATACCATACCTTATGGGACAATTCAATGAGATTCTCGATGGCCCTTCAATCATCTCAGAATCTACATGTCGTAGAAGTACTTTTAATGTTGTGTGTGGGCATAATAAGGTATATAGCTAAGGAAATGCACCAACACATCATGCGAATGTCGTGAGGAATTTATGAAAAATGCGTTATCATACCATTTCCAACTAGCATGAAGGATCATGGTTTAAAAAGGCGTTTTTAAGGCGTGCCTTGAGGATTGCCTACATTAAATAATGGTCTTGAGGCTTTTTCCTGAACTGAATCAAACCAGGCTTAAACCTCAGATGGCTGAGGCTTTTTGTGAGGCTTAAGCCTCATAGTTTTTGTTTTAACTTTTGTCTTGCCTTGTTACTTTTTAATGAAAATTATATGTAGTATTAGATTATTGGACCTATTATCTTTATTAATCATTCACTAAGCCCAATAACATCCCTAAGCCTATATGTTGAAACTTGAAATCAGCAATTATCTTCAGACACTCTAGTTATAAAGCTCAACTCTTATATATAGCCTAGAAAGTACTCAGCACTCCTAGCACAGAGAAGCAGAGCTACTGAGCTACCACCACTACTCTCCTGTTCAGACACCTTCAGCTACTCCTTTTTCTTTTGATTCGAACAATTACAAAAGACCCCTCTCCTGTAAGAGAGCACAATTTCTTTATTTTCTATGAGATTTCCTCAGGCCAGTCAGATTTGTGGCATTTCTCAAACTGACCCCTCTCCTATTTACATTTCTTGATATAAACCTGAGGTATGCCAAAATACCCTGAAAAACTTATGTAAACCTTCATCTTAAGAACAAGAAAATGGGAGGGTCATTTTGAGAAATACCACAAATCCGACTGTTACATTTAGAAAGTTCCCTTATTTTTTCTTTTTATTCAAATTGCTCTACTATATTACTATCCCCAACTTTTGTTTAGGCGACACTTCTAACTTATCTCCAACCTTTTCTTCTCTGCATATTTTTGCATTTGAAAAACTTTTTATTATTTTATCAAGGACAAATAACTTTATATTAAATTGTTTTCTACGTACACGTTGATAATATGTTTAAGATTGTTTGTGATTTTGAATTGTAAAGCAAGTATCGAATATATTTTGAGGCGTACCACCTGGAGGCTTATGCCTCACCTAAAAAATGCAAAAATCCTCGCCAGATGGTTACTCTTCGGCTTTCTTTAAAGCTAATTGGCAACTGATCGGTGACGATGTCACGAGGGCTGTTATGGAATTCTTCTCTTCCGGGAAATTGCTCAAGCAAATGAATCACACGATTATTGCTCTGATCCCCAAGACTAATCATGCACCTAAAGTCTCAGATTATAGGCTCATTTCTTGCACAAATGTGGTCTATAAAATCATTACTAAGATTCTGGCTAACCGTATTGCACCGTGCATTCCAGCTTTGGTAGATCCCGCTCAGGGGGCCTTTGTAGATGGCCGACTTATGTTCGATAATATTTTTCTTGCTCAAGAGCTGGTGCGTGGCTACACAAGAAAGCGCATCTCTCCTCGATCGATGATTAAAGTGGATTTGAGGAAAGCTTATGATACCATATCCTAGACCTTCTTAGAGAATATTCTTATTGGCCTGGGCTTCCAACCACGGTTTATTGGCTGGATTATGGAGTGCGTTACTAATGCGTCTTTCTCTATATCTCTTAATGGCTCGCTGTTTGGTTGGTTTAAACTTTAAAGGCAAAAGGGGTATCCGACAAGGGGATCCGATGTCCCCCTCTTATTTGTCCTTTGCCTTAGAGTACTTTTCCCGATTGGTGAAGATGAAAACGAAGGCCTCGGGGTTTAATTACTACCCCCTTTGTTCCTCTCTTTCTATTACTCATTTGGCATATGCCGACGATCTCATGCTTTTCTCAAGGGGTGATGTTCATTCTATCAATATTTTGGTGAAAGCCCTTGAAGAATTTGGAGATACTTCTGGTCTCAAAATTAATCATGGAAAATCCAGCATTTTTATTGGTGGTGTTGCGGACTATGATATTGCTAATATCCTTGACTTGGTTGATATTGGACGTGGGACTTTACCCGTCAAATACTTAGGTATACCGCTTGCACCTCTTCGGTTTCTGGTGCACAATACTCTCCACTTCTGGATACTATAACGGACTTCTTGAACGCTTGGAATGCCAAATCTATATCTTATGCCGGAAAGCTCGAACTCATTCGATCGGTCGTACAAGGCGTACAATCTTTTTGCCTTCAGGTTTTCCCGGTTCCCCAAGCTATTTTGGACAGGATCGTGTCTATTTGCAGGATTTTTCTTTGGGGATGTAAATATGCTAAACTGTCATGGGATGACATATGTCTCCCAAAGAATGAGGGTGGCCTTGGAATTCATTGTGCTAAAGTCTGGAATGAGGCTCTTCTTGCGCGTACTCTTTGGAATATTCACAAAAAAGAAGGCACCCTTTGGGTCCGATGGGTTAATGGAGTTTATCTTAAAGGAAAAAGTGTGTGGGATTTTTCCCCACACAACCGGGACTCCCAGCTTATGAAGAAACTTTGCCTTATCCGTAATAGGATCTGCCAGAAATTTCACAACACAAACGAGGCTGTTATGGCTTTGAACAATATGTGGTAACAACGGCAAACTCATTTCGGCGAAGGTTTATGATTTATTGCGCACTAAGGGCACGGCTAGACCTTGGATGCCGTTTATTTGGAAGGGGTACATTCCCCCTAAATTTTCTTTCACCGTCTGGCTTGCTTTTTGGAACCGGTTACCTACACAAGATAATCTTTCCTATTTTAATATGGTTAACCGGTGTGACCTTTGTAATGGTGGTTTGGAAACAACATCACACCTTTTCTTTGTTTGTCCTTTTGTATGCAGGATCTGGACGAGGATTAGGGACTGGATTGGAATTACAAAGCAGATGACCACCTTGGAGAAAGCAATAAAGTGGATTAGGAGAGACCATGGAGGTGCACTCATCAAATCAAAAACAGTTCGCTTGGCTTTCTGTGCGACGATTTATTGGGTTTGGCATACTAGGAATGCTTGTCGCTTCGATGATATTACAAAGACTGAAGATGATGTTGTAGCAAAGATCAAGCACGTGGTTTACAAGATTCTCTACAACATTTATCCTTATGAATTGATCACTTTTTGATTTCTTTAGCCACGGCTTGTGTATGTTTTGTTGATTAGATGGTGACCAACCTTGTTGGTAGGTTGCCTTATAGTTTTGGACGCATGTGTACATGTTATTTTTCGGATGATATATATATTTACAGGTTCATCCAAAAAAAAAGAACACATATCTCCATGGACATTAGTAGTAACTATAAACTTCACACTTCTTCCAAAATGCCATGAAAACATACAGAAAATTGGATGCGCGTACCAGACATGGGCAACTAAATATAGATAACCACACAAAATACTTTATACACACCTGAATCAACTGAGGCAGATACCGTTTGCACATAATCTGGAAGAGTGACGGTATTTGGGGTCACCGCCATAGTCATAGAGGCAATGGCAATAATATAACTTCCTTCAGAATGATTTAAAAAAAGTAAGACATTTTACAATTAAAACAGCATAAACACATATTTCAGATATTGCAAAAATGTTTTCTGAGCAAACCATTAAACTGGCCCACAGCTTGAAGAAGGTTTACTCCAATCACAAGCATATCTGACACAGCTGTTGGAATTTGAGGTCCAGTATCCTATTGAAATAATATAAATTAAAAAAAAAAACTAAATAGCACCACTCAGAATTGCAATACCATCAGGGATTACATATATGAATAAAGCTTCATAGTCAATGAACATACAATTGACAGATCGGATCTGTTTTTTATCCCTTCCCCATTGATGAGAAAACTGCAATAACAAAATATGAAAGACTGTCAAGAGCAGACACATTATGAAATATTCTACAAGAGAAATCCACTAGCAGAATATGCAGTTAGTCAGAAAGACCATAGACAAGGGCTTTATACTTCACGTTAGGGGGCGTTATGAGACATGACGATGTCTCCATATTGTCTATTTGGGCAACAAGTAATCTCTGCAATAGAGAAATGAAATTGTAATGTAAGCCAATATCAAATTGTAAGCATGCTTCACATTTAATAACCTTTTCAAACATAAATAAGAAGCGGGAAAAGTTAACTTTTTCAACATAAATAAGATGTGGAAAAAAGAAACAAAATGGGTTGTAAATAGATGCAGGTTCTGAAATGAAGTGATTGGCTATTCCCCTCACCACGAGAAATGTGGATAGCTATAAGAGAGCTAGCATGAACATAGAGCTAGAATCATTGGATAATGACACTCTCTCATACAACCAAGGTTGGACAAGACATGATTCAATAATAACATTAACCAAATGCTTATTTAAGAATGAGTTAGAAATTTAACACTCTGCTCAACAAAGCCTTACTCCGACTCTAGTTCGACTCTGCCAGAGTACAAGTCTACATAATGTCCTAGCAAATACTTTTATTTCAAATCCTTAAATGCGTAATCTTTTTTGTTCTAGAAACATGTGGATGGAGTATTAACTAAAAGAAGTTGCCTCATTAAATAGGGTAGGCTGAAAGCACCTAGACTATTGCTATTTGCTACAAATGAAGAATCATTTCAAACTCATTTGAGATACAAATTTAAGCATGAAGTATAATAAACAATGTAGGTGCATACTATAACTGCTTCTGGAGATGACCGTATGTCCTGTGACACAACGAAGTCATATATATATGTATCATATCCAGGCTACAGATGAGAAAAGTAAAAAGTGTATTAGTTTATGATTATTTGAGCCAACGACCACCCCACCCCTCGCCCCTAGGTGTGGTGGGATGAAACAAAGCAAACAGAAAAACACATCAATACCTTTATTTCAAGAAAGGCGAACATGTGACCCATCCTCAATTGGGGAAAGAATCTGTCAGTGCAAAATTTCTTCAGAAGCATTGGGCAATGAAAGCCACTCATCACAGATAAAGAAAAATCTTTTGTAGTTTTTGAAGAGAAATAAAAGCTAAAGTGGTAACAACTAACAATGTCCTTCACTACAGCAAAGCCTGTTAATCTAACAACCATAATACTGCAGTGCAGCAATTACAGAAAGGATTTGCAATCATATAGATCAATTTCATTGAGTTATCAGAAATAATAAAATTCAAATATTTCAAAAAAATATCACACATTCAAGCTACAAGGTAAGAAAGGAGAGGCAAATTCTCCTACCTTGACATAATTGTTGAGATAGCGGACAAGCAACTGCTAGGTTCGCTTCTGAAATTCGTTGTACTGCAGAAGCCACTATACATCTGAACATGCAACAAATAAACAAAAGGGATAACTTCTACCAAACGAGCTAATGAAACAGAGGAGCTGGAACATTAGTAAAAACTACACAGACCTCATTTGCCAGATGGTGAAGCTCTTCAGAATCTTTGTCCAAAAACCACCCAGTACTGCAAGCACTCTACAAATTATGATCAATTCAAAGTTGTAAGAACAGTTGCACTTCACAGTTCACATGCTTAATCTTTAGACAAAGAAATAGTTGTATTAACATTAACAACAAGTCCAACAAATGATACACATAAGAAGTAATGACCAGTGTCTCCGACGCTCCAAGCCAGAAAACACTAAAATGAGTCTAGACTAATAGTGCATTGAGAATTAACACCCATGGTGTGATGTGCGAAGTAAAAAGATAAATCTGTATGCACGTCGATTAAATTTTCAGATTTCCTAGCAAGCTTCTTGACATGATCTCCAATTCAGTAGTATGCAATAACCATCCAAAGCAAGCCATTATCCTCAATTAGAAGAACATACAGTATCTAGCATAAGTATGATGTTGTGTCCTTGTTTCAAGATCCTAGAGGGAATTGATCATTTTGTCTGGTAGGAATGTTTTCCTGATTTTATAAAGAACTCTACTTTCCATTATGAAGTCATTTACGTATCATTTCCCAGCAGAGTGTTTAGCCTGCACAGGCATTTGAGCTTAACATTTTTATATGAATGCTGCATTATTGTTCAGTAGCTCAAAAAGTAGTAGTAAGCGAATGACACAAAACCTAAGTATTTTAGATATTGGCAATACATCCAACAATTTATTGAAACCACATGACACCAATATGAGTAACTAGCTTCTATTGCTAATTTGAAATACTACCTCCGTCCCATAATTTACTTCCAAAATAAAGTGGCACGCGGATTAAGAAAGTGGGAATTGTGTGGTGGAGAGTTGTGCAGAGGAGAGAGAAATGTTGTGAACCACAAATTCTTTGCCAAAAAAGGAAAGGGAAGTTCTTTTTGGGACGGACTAAAAGGGAAAGTTGGAAGTATTTTCAGGGACGGAGGGAGTAATAAAAAAAAACAGTAAACACATACACAATAGAGTCAGTCAACATAATGCTTAATTGATGATTGGCTGATTCAAAAAAACTCTCGTGTCTGTCATATTTAAGCCGTGGACATGACATCCTTCATGAATACTGTCTAGTAAGGAAAACACTTGGAAAGCCTCCACTTGGCAGAACATCAATTGAAGTAACAGGCAGCCGAAGCTGTTCTACTAATGATATAACAATAGAAGGGTAACTATCTGTAAACTTGATACAATGAAGTACAGAAGAAAGACCATATCTTGTAACAGGTCATGACAAACAAAAAAATTGAAATGCATCGGTAACAAAATCGAGTCATATGGCAGAAGAGGTTACTGTTATTGAGCAATTACTTTAACAGAAAACATTAGGACCATAACAGCTGCGAGATCAGGTAGTTCATTGTTGCGCCTATACACCTGGTATCAAACATGATATGGAGAAAAGATGTTAAAGTTGATACAGTGTCGAAATTCATGTAAATATGATGACAATAGAACTGAACATTGACCAAAAAAGGCACCATGGGCACAGTAAAGTCATTAATAAAGCAAGAGAAATATTGCACTATCTCCGTCCCATTTTATGTGTCCTACTTTGGTTTGGCACAATTATTAATACAATGGTTGAAAAAGTAAAAGTTGTGGTTGAGATTTGAGTATAATAAAATGATGTAGACCACATATTTCTTTTCAAAAAAGGAAATGTGACACTTATTTGGGACAACCCAAAAACAAAAGTAAGACATGTACAATGGGACAAAGGGATTATATGAAAGTAAGAAAAGCGCACATCTTCTATTGAATGTGTTGAAGGGTAAAAACAATTTAAGGACTTTGTACTTTTAAGAGGGTTCAAATATGGGTACTGCACTGTTTTCATTTCAAGGGCAGAGGAATTGTCGTTTGATTAAATTTTCAATTTCATAATATCATTAATGAAGCATTTATGTGAATAATGGATAATATGCCAAGAGCTTCAATTTGAAGAAATTTATATATTTATAGGTACCTCCTGTTTTATGTGATCATTTGAAAAAAAAAATCCACTTTTGATCTCAAAACTATTATGCCATTCCCATTTCCCTCCACAACTTTCATTCTTCCCACTTTTGGTGCATGACTGACTATCTTGCCAACCTTGGTCCTTTCCATGACTTATGCGGTGAAAGTCTACCGGAAGTTGTACGGAAATTGACAGGATAAGGAGTCAGAAATATATAGACATGGGACCTAAGTGGAAAAATGAAAGTCAGGGACCAAAAGTGGAATATTTTCAACTTTTCAGTTTAGATGGGAAAGTACAGATTCAGCTAACATGTTATATGACGTTGGAAGCTGATAGCATATAGTCAGGCCTAGACCACAATCTTAATTCCCCATTTAAACATACCTGCTTCAACAGTGGAGGCAAAACTGAAGCATCAGGGGGAATCTCCTGGCTGGCAATGGCATTATCAATTCCCCTATAAAAATCAAATATTCAGTCGATAACACTATATGTGAATCAAAAGTGGAAGGAAGACTTCTTATTTCAAAATATTATTACGTGAATAGGTGCAAAAGTGCAACCTTACGTGTTTTTAAAATTCAAGAATCCACAATTACATTTTACAGATTACCCAGGAAATTGTGCATTCTCCCCTTCAGACAATGTGAAAGGGCAAAGAATTCCATCTGTACATCGCCCATATAGTTCATGTAAAGAGAAACCCATCCAATCCATCCGTTAAAAACAGAATACTCCAATAATTGTTTTACTCCATATTTCCACCCATTCATTTGTACTGTACGGATGAATAGTGTTCCATCTTCTCCGTATTGTTTTTTCAAATTCATCCGGCCGCCTTTAAAAAGCATTATAATTGCATAGAAAATTCAAAACCATCACACTAATCACATTCATCAATGATTAATTTCTCCGTTGATTACTTTATTCATGTAAAAAATAATAGATGGATTGAGTATATTTTTTATTTTTTTTCCAGAAGCAAAATTTAAATATATTCTACAGAAGTGGCCAAAACTTGAAAATGATTACAGATAAAAAGTTTCAAAACTTTACTGTGCCAGAAGGATTTTTCTAGTTGTGAATTTCTATGGTAAACTATTAATGCGCAGTATACCATAACTCTTCCAACTTCTCAGTACCATTAATTAAAGCCCTTTCCAGTTTTAAAAGTCAACAAAAACATCAACCGTTTGAGAAGTCGAAAGAAGGAAGACTAAAAATTCAAGAACTCAAGAATCTAACATCTTTGTATTGTACAGATAAGTAGATACCTTGAAAGGTCGATGCATAGCTGGCGGAAGTCTACGCCGTCGTTTAAGGGCTGGGAGCTCTCGAGCAAAGCTAGTCGCTCGGCAATGGCTGAAATGAAGGGCAAGTTATTAGACGGAGACTTCGAAACAGAGCGTTTTCCGTCCACGCAGACTCCAGCTCTCGTCGCCGGAGGACAAACACCCTTTCCGGCCATTCATGCAGACGGTGTTTTCTCCTGTCTTCCGAGGAAATGTGCTTCGAGAAAGCAGAGCAACTAAAAGATACTTTCTTTACTCTCACTACAGAAAATCAAGAAGCCCCAAGAATCTATCAGTCAATGACAATGATCGTTGTGATAAGAAACTTCACTCCAACTCTTCTTCTTCCCTCTTCACGAGAAATTCTTTTTAATGCGTTCTGCCTCCTTCATTCTCTATTAGGCAATTATGCAGGAGCAAGAACTTCCAGAATGTGAAACCATCTTATTCCAGAATGCGTTCGGTCTGATGAACACGGCCAGACTTTCTTGCCACTGTCTTCGTGCAGTCAATCGCAGCTTAAAAAGTCTGCATCATGAAATGAAAACGGTGAGACCCATGTCAAATTACTTCAAATAAATCAGTCGGACTCTTATGTGAAAAAATGAAGGTTTGCAAAAAAAAAGTGTCATACTTGAAGTTAGATAATCAATGTAAAGCCAATATGATTTTATTATCTAATTTTAAGTATCAAGTACTAATAAGTTAGTATCAATTTGCTAAGTATCTTGTGATTCCACGATATGATGTCACAAGTTCAAAATTCATCTCAATCAAGGATGTTAACATTTAACGGAAGAGATTATAACAAAAATGAAAGTGCAGTAAAAAAAAGTTTAGAATCAATTCAACATTTCAACAATATTAATTTGCTTTCAATGAATAACATTACATTTACAAATTAATGGTATATTTTAAAACTAAAACTTAATAAGGAAAAATATTTTAAATACCTCAAAATTTTAAGGGATGTGAGGTAAACAATCTAAATATGCATACCTAATTTACATATCTCAAATTTTATATAAAAAATTATGTTAGCACCATAAACATATGATTTTGTTTCAAAAATGTAAATATATGTTGTTAAATAAATACTATCGTAATAAATAATTTAGATACATTTAGCATTTATGAAAGTGCAGTTAACATTATCAACTTTTATTTGTGAAATAATATCCACGTCTCACTATGATTGAGACAAGAGAGTGTGGTGCAGTTTTTAAGAAAAATGAAATTATGTGATTGATATTGAATTGATAAAGTGTAAATAAAGTAAGAATAATTTGTAACCGCTCAAATGTTGTCAAATATGATATGAGATAAACTTAATGGGATATACAAAAAAAGTTAAAATGATACAAAGTTAGAGGGACGACAGAGTAACTATTATTGTCTCACCTCTCTCTATATATATAACTACGACACTTTTAATTTGATATTTCCAATGCACGACTTTGACTACTAACATTAATTACTAGTAAAAGAGAATTGAAAATTCCTGAAATATGAATAAAATCGTTTTGGAGTTTCAAAATAGAATTGTCATATTTTTATATGCTAAATATGAGTAATTACTACCAAATTTGGAAAATATTGTCATGTTTATGATATGATAATGTCAAAATGTGACAACAATTACTCTTATTTAGAGAATAAGAACAAGACAGTTATATTTTGAAATACACAAATGTTTTTACTCCTATTTATGATAATGTATGTTAGTAAAAATGAAAGCGTTTAAAAAGTCGTATTTTAAAGTTTAATACAAACCAATTTTTCAATGGATTTTTATGATACATCGATGAATAAAATAAGATGAAAATAGGATGCGTGAATAATGTAATGTCATTTAAATATGTTAATAATGAAACTCATGCAATGATAAATACAAAATAAAAAACGTTGCAATAGAAGTTTAGAATGTTAAGTGTATCTTCACGAATGCTAAAACATTTTAAATTATGCAATTAACACCATAAAATTATATTTTTAAAAGAAATAATATATGACCATTGTGCTAAAATAACTTTTTATGTAAAATTTGTGTATTTAAATTACATATGCAAGTTTATGGAGTTCAACACTATGTTATCAAAACCGGACCGGGTGACGACCCGAATCTTGACCGGGTCAAGGGTCAGTCCGGACCAGGAGGCTCACCCCAGTCAATGGCCAGTAAACCCGGTCAATATTCTCTGAAAAATAAATGCAAATTTTAGATTATTAATTATTACTCCCTCCGGTCCTAAATAAAGTTCACATTTTCCTTTTTGGGCCGGTCCAAATTAAAGTTCACACTTCTTCTCCCTTCCTTATTTGACAAATCATCTACATCAAAACAGTGCAAAATAGTGCAAAACAGTGCCAAACAGTGTCAAACAGTGTCACAACAGTGTACTCTACAGTAAAGTCAAATTTATTTCCTTAATTTGTGTGAAGTCAAACACTGAACTTTATTTAGCACCGGAGGGAGTATGTATTATATTAAAAAATCAAGGAAAAATATTTTTATTTATAATTTTAATAATCGTATCATAACTCCATGATCATTTAATTAGTCCAGCCCCTTCTGTAAATTTTTAAAACTAAAACAGTCGGGTTTTCGGGTTTTAGACGGTTCCGGGCCGGGTCTTTGGATTTTTACGGGTTTAGGCTGATTTGCGGGCTGAACCCTAATCAGCCCGGTATTCCAAGCGAGGCACCGGGTTCCGGGTCGACCCACCCGGTCCGGTTCGGGTCTAATAAAATAGGTTTATCTCACATCCCTTTAAAGTTTGGGGTAATAAAATTATTTTTTTCCAACTTCACTATATTCAGGGGGAATCTACATACTTACTCCGTTTCATAAAAGTTGCAACATCGGAATTTCTGCACTATTCACACATCTTACTTTGACTACAATTTTCTAATAATATATATAATAAAAATATTATGTATGAAGTATTAATAAATTTGTATTAATTTAAATTTCCAATATATTAACTTTTTTTAATGTTTACTAATACGTAAATAAATATAACTACAGTCAAAGTTGCGCGTTGTCAAACGTGAAAGTCAAACTGTTACAACTTTTATGGAAAGGATGATAGTATGAGCTATGATGGGCCGGAGCTTGAGGTAACTCATTTTTTGTTCAATTTGTTTAATGTAATTTTTCAATGTTCATATTTAGCTCATCTCATTAATGCTTAAGCCTAGCATATATGCTTACAACATTTATTGCACTATTTACACAACATTGAAAAAAATGGGGTTAGCTTAAAATTATGGAAAGAAAGAAGCTAACCATCTAATATACGGAGTAGTTAATAGATGATGGAGATTTGATGATAACCAATGATGGCAATGTAGTAATTGGATAAAACTTCGAAGGATATTTTTAAGCATTAAAGCAACACAATTAATATTAAGGGTAAAGTTGTAAAAGTGAGGTTACAACATAACCTTGTCACTAGATACCTTTCCTTTAAAAATCTGATTTGTTTAAAAAAAATCAACGGTTGTACTTAAAATTTTCCTATAATTTAGGTCTTTAAATGGAATGCAACTGAACCGAGTTCGTATATCCTACCCGGGTGTACGGGTGGGAACCGTACATACGGGTCTATTTCTAATTTAAATGAAACTTCAGCCCAATTTCAACAAAGTTTAATGAATCTGACGAAGGCCCACAAAAAAGGCCCAATTAATTAAGAAAGACAACACATTTAACTGATACAGTCTAATTTTTTTCGGTGGCATTTTTGTAGTTTAAGGGAAAAATCACGGCTCCCGCTAAATGAGCACTGTACTCTAAGTGAGTATCTGACCTATTTTATTGAGTATTAAGAGGCTAATAATGAGTATCGCGATCTCTGATTCATATCTTCTAATTCTTTTTCTTTTTCTTATTTTTTCGTTTATAAAAACTTATTAAATTATATCTATAATCCAATCTTATTAATTTCAATATGCGAGTCTAATGTAATATGATACTTTTGAAATATACATTGATATGGCATTGTAAAAATGAGCATAACATCAGTACCAAATGAGCATACACAACTTACAAAGTGAACATTAATATGAAAATCGTAATGTTTTTTTGTTGAACATCACATCATTTTATTGAATATCAAACCTCCGCTATTGAGATGAAAATCATAATTTCTTGTGAATGAGCATTAATGAACTTGTAATGAGCATCGGACCAATTATGTTGAGTATTCGGAGTCCAATATATATGAGCATAAGATCAGTACTAGATGAGCATACGTAACTTACAAAATGAACATTAATGAATTTGTTAGTTGGTTTGTTAGTTGAACATCACGATATTCTCATTGAGCATCAAACTTCCTCTATTGCGATGAAAATAATGATTTCTGTTAAATGAGCATTAATGTACTTTTAATGAGTATGATACCTATTCTTTTGAGTATTAGTTCATAAGTATTGACATGACATTTTAAAATGGGAATAACACTACTCCTGAATGAGTATACATATATTATAAAATGAGCATAGAAAAATTCAAAAGTTCATTTAAATTTTCTAATATGCTCATTTAAATATATTTCATGAGCATCAGACTCATACAAATGAGCATATGTAACTTACATGATGAACATTGATATGAAAATTGAATGTTTTGTTCGTTGAGCATCAATACATTTTCAGTGGCCATCAAACCTCTGTTATTGAGTATTACAATTTGTGATTGTAATATCATGATTTGTGATCTCGTGTCTATAATCAACCCCTATATAAATTTAATGTAATAGACTTTTGAAATATGCATTGCTAAAAACATTTTTAAAATGAGCATAACAGAGTTACTAAATGAACATACATAATTTACAAAACGAGTATCAAAAAATTCAAAATATCATTTGTGTATATTCATTTTTTAGGCGTTTTACTCATTCGAGTTTAAAGTAAAGCTCATTTCTAATATGCTCAGTATTAATATATAAAGAAAAAGAAAGAAGTAAACAACACATAAAGAAAGGAAAAAAAGTAAAGAAAAGATAAAAATAAACAAAACAATGACCAAGTAGCTAACGGTAAAATAAAATAAAGAAAAACATGAAAAAAAAAGACAAAAGTAAAAATGTAAGGAACGACTACTGGAGGATTGCGGTCGAAGAAAAGGAAGAAAACAGATGGCTGGCTGCGGAAGAAAAGAAGATGGTTGGCTGCGGAAGAAAAGAAAGAAAACAGATGACGGCGAAAGAGAAAAACGATCGACGGCAAAAAAGAGATGACTCAGCAGGAGAAAGATGAGAAATGCTTGAAGTTGGTATATATTACAAAAATACCGGGTGTACCTATACACCCGAGTGTACCATATAATCTGAGAACTAAACCTTCAAACTAACTAATATTCTTCATTTGATCTTTCGAAGTTGTGTCCTACTTACGCTAATTAAACTAATCTTAATGAATTTTACTAGGAATTATAATTTTCCTTTTTTTGTTTGTCCCAAAAAAATTTGTCATTTTCCTTTTAGAAATGTTTTTGTGACTCTGTTCATTTCTCTCTCCTCTGCACAAACCTCAACCACACAAAATTTTACTATTCTAATTTCTCACCTAACATCAACTTGACAAAGTTGAGTGAGAAGGAGATAATTATTGTTTTGCATACATTGCATCAAAAGCTCATACCCCTTATTAAAAAATGTCCATCATGAAGAATACTTAGAAATACCCCGTACTACTTATTTACATTTATACTTTTTATTATAACATGCATTAACAATATATCAATAGTGCCTAAAGTGCAAAAAGTCTTGTAGATTGTAGCCATGAACAGAAACATTGTTTTGTGGGGTGTGTAATTTTAAAAGTGCATCTAATCTCATTAGAATAACATGAAATTGATATCTTAATTGTGCATTATTAATAATTTTCTCATGCAACAAATTAAAATATATCTGAAGAGCAGTTTAATAGAGACAATTAACTGCATAGTATGTATTATCCCAAAATTCTTATCTCCAAATTAATTACTTATTTGGATAAAATTCACTTCTAAGTAAGTATTGTGTAGCTAAAAAGTGCACCCAAGTACCAATAGTTCACAAGAATTTGGTTATGTATAATGCAAAAAAGTGCAAACAAAAAACAAAAACTAATAAAGGCATTAAATTAAAATGTATATAAGCTCACTTTTATTATAGACCAACTTTGAACAATCATATTGACCTTTCAAAATATAGTGGATTGCTTGTAGGCTTGTAGCCTGAGAATGCATAAATACTTCCTTATGATGCACTGAAGTCATCGTAATAATCTCCCTTGATGCAAATATGAATTGGGTGAAATTAATGTTACACTATTAATTTTCACTACCTCAAATATCAATTAATCCATAATTAAAACTAAAAATTTTGTATGTAAATAATCATGACTCTGATGAAAGTGCAAAAAAAGGAATAATAAATTAATCCTCTGGACGTAGCTAAAAGAAAATACAAAATAAATTTTATATACAAACTAAGTAAATAAGTGTAGTCATGTAAGAGAAACTTTCGTAGGTTGAAAGCAAGCAATAAAAGAGTAGGAGAAATTTTCGGATGTTCCCTGCCATCAGAAAATGTTAAAAAGTGAAATATCAAAACAGCCCCCAATATGATCATACCTAAAAATGGATCTAACGTATGATCATACCTAAAATTGGCTTGATCGAATGGTCCATATTTATTCTTATTTATTTTCTAAGATGATTTTCTCATTTAAACACACACACATAACATGTTTTTTAATGTGTTTTACACAATCATTTATAAACGTTTTTATACTTAAAAGAATAAAAACCTCACACATTTGCCTCGTTTTGCTAGAAGTACTCTAAATCCACAATTGGACCAAATACGAGGATGATAGAACACACACGCAGAATCCCGACGAGAAAAGGTCAACCAAACGCATCCCGAAAAACAAACGAAGCCAAGGAAAATGCACAAATTAAGTGAAAGTCGCCAGTCTTCCACATAAGGTGTCCTGTTTTCACCTGCCAGCCATACAGGTGTCGTCCAATGATGAAGAAAAGCGTCTGAACTCAAAAAGAACGAAAACCGTCCGGCTTTCGTAAAAGGCGTCTGACTTTGGGCGTCATAGTTTAATCCCGTAAATTAATTCCAAAAGCCGCCCGGCTTTTGGTAGAAGCCGTCTGGTTTCCATCCCATGGAGCACAGGTCCAATTATTTTAAAAGCTGAAAGTGACCCGGCTTTAAGCTACCACTTGGCAATTACCATATCAAAGCCTGCAACTGATGACAGTGAATTCATAGGTGAAGATGTATAGCATCTTCACAGATGAACTTTGAAGTTTTAGGCAACTTAACTTTTTGTTAATAGTGCACTTATTTTGGTTAGTATGTAGTTGTGCACTTTTTTGAATGCACTTAAGGTGGAAAAAGTACAATTTTTTGTAAGCTAGTTTGTAAGGTAAATCAGGATGTTGTGAGATATTTTTGCAAGTCAAATGAATTTTGGAAACTACCAAATATAAATACAAACATTTTGCCAGCCAACTAAGCCAACATTAGTTACATACACAACACACACATAATTCATCATATACACACCACAAAGGCAACTTGGGGGATATGAATAACATATGGGGTTCATGGGCCATCATCACCATCCATTTGGTGTATCAGAATTCTTCATACACAACACACACAGATCAAATTCATCATATACACACCACACACTGTCAATTACACAAATCATGTGTTCAGGGCAACTTGGGGACATGGATAACACATGGGGTTCAGGGGACATCAACCACAGATTTCAGCATATACACATCACACAAAACATCAAAAAATGAAGTTAAATGGAGTTAAAGATTATTACACTCCTTCCACGTCGTCGCTACTATCCCCTTCCGCCAATCCTGTTTATCCTTCCTCTTCTTCTGACCCCACATTGAAGCCTTCTGTCAGTCTACCCTCCACGGGCACCGATGACACCTCTTCTCCATCCTCCTCATCAAGTCCATCCAAGCCATCGCACGTGTCAGAAACGAGATTATCACCATATTTCTTCCGCAGGCGCGAGTTGGGATTAGTTTCAGAAGAACTAGATCCCCCAAAACGAACGATGTAAAGTTTTAATGGAACCGGGCTAGGCGGGTCTGAAATAGGCGACGAATCATTAACATGTTGGTTTTCATTTAACATGACATCTTTTACCAGATTTATTTTATCCATGCAGAGGGTTTGACGATGGAGGCGGACTGATTAATAGAGATGGGGTGTAGATGACGGGGAATCAGAGAGTGTCGATGAAGGAGTCCTAGAGAGGGTAGTGATTTAGGGGTTTGAAAAGGGTACGATGGAAAGGTGAAACAAGGGACGACGAAGGACGGTGGGGGGACGAAGGGTTGCAGACAAAGGGGGGGAGAGAGACATTAATAGAAGAGAGAGGGCGTTAAGATAAGAATGAGGAGGGGGTAGAACGAGGGGCGGGTAGTTGTAGGGATAAATATGAAAAGGGCAACATGGTCAATTCAATCCCAAAACTTACTAAATATAAAAAGAAATGAAAGTGGGAGTTAATCTCGGGACTGACCGAAAAGGAAAGTGAGAAGTTAACTTCAAGATGAAGGGAGTGTAATTTTATTTTGATGTTGTTATTTGGATCAAGTATAGCCCCCATTTTTTTTGTGTGTATGCTATCATTTGCTTGTTTTTTAAAGATCGATGCCTCTTCCGGAGAGGTTTTGGTATATTCCCCCTCTCCTGATGTATCTCATTTTTTAATAAAATATGGCAAATGTTCTCCGACATTTGCCTCACCATTTGGTGGTTTGCCCACCGGGACAAAAAAGAATAAGGAATAAAATGATTATTGTATCAAAGTGATTCAATGAAATATCATTAATTTGTTGTGAAATAAAAAAAATGCAGGATTTCAAAGTGATTCAAAAAAAAAATATCTGAATGAGATTACAAGGCTTCATCAAGTCCCTATTTATACTGGTTGAACTTGACGATGAGTCACTTAAGGGATGAGTCTACAGATTTGGCGGCAATAGCAATTTGAGCCATCTGTTCTAACTAGGTTACAAGGGTTAACCATATTTTTTGGATTCATGACCCTTATCATTTCCAAGATTTTACAACATAATCAATATTTTTATTTATTTTTTCAATTGCTAGCCTACAATTTATCAAAATAAAATAAATTGATTGTTAAAAATTGATAGAAGAATAAGTCTAAAAAATCAAAGCTGCTAAAGACAAATACAATTTTTTACAATAATATAACTAGTAACAATTACAAAAGTAAAAAGGCAAAATTCATAAGAATAATCCCTAATTTTAGGAATTCTACAATAATAATCCTTACTGAGAGTGTCTATAAAAATAATCCGAACTAGCAATAATGTCCACAAGAATAAATTGATGTGAATTCAAATTAATATCCGTTTAATACTATCAATCCCTACTCTCACTTAGGGTTGGACTCGGGCCGGGTGGCCCGACCTGGAACCGGCCCAGGACCGGTACTGTTCCGGCCCGGCCCGAACCAGTGGCCCGGTCAGTGACCGATCCGGGTAGGCCCGACCCGGTGGGTTTCCGGTCCGGGCTCGGTTCACCCATAACAAGGCCCGGCCCGACCGGGCCCGGGCCCGGTTCGGGCCAAATTTATTTTTTTTTTTGGTTTTTTTCATTTGTTTGGGCTCCACCGGGTTGGGCTTGATGTTTAGGAGGGGTTTGGGGGGTGGGGGGTGAGGGGAGGGGGTCAGGGATGGGTAGCTAAGCAAAAAAAAAAAAAATTAACCAAACCCGAGGCCCGCCCCGCCCCGGCCCGGACCCGATGGCTACCCGGGCCGATCCCGGGTCCAACTATATAGAACCGCCGGCCCGACCCGGCCCGAGTCCAACCCTGCTCTCACTTTTCTCGTCACCGCTCTTCTTATAGAAGTGAATTAAAACTAATACCCGTCTAATCTTAATGTCATTTCCGCCATATGTGGTTCTTTCTAGGATAGAAGTGTTACCCGAAAACAAGAGTGGTGAAAGGAAAAGTAGAGGTAAGATTTGGGAGAATTAAATGGGAAATAATTTTAACTTACCTCAATTTATTCTTGTGGACACTATTGCAAGTTCAGATTATTTTTATGAATACTCTCAGTAGGGATTATTATTGTAGAATCCCTAAAAGTAGAGATTATTTTTGTGAATTTCGCCAAGTAAAAATGATGAAACGTGAATATGATTCAAAGTATGAAAAAATAGACTAACAGAAGTACTAAATAACGTTGAACCACGATTTAGACTAAAATACACTGATAATATGAAGTAAACATCAATTTGGTGTTCTGAATTGAATAAATAAAGTTATGCAAGAAATTACGCTGATATTTGTATATTATATTATACTCCGTATATCAGAGCAGGAAAGAATTTAGGTCTCCAAGAAAGGTTAGTCAATGGTATTATAAAGGTCTACCATTTTTCATTCAAAAAACCAACCAACTTGGCTCTTTCTCTCAAAGCAGAGCCAAGACTACATCATCTCATCTTCATAATCGTAGTCTGGTTCGCCACTAGAATGTCTCATTCTCTTCGTCTCTCTTGGGCCTCCCCTACCCTTCTTCTGTTTCCCTCTGAGTATTACCATGACCGGTGTAACTATGTGAGCTCCATTACATTCAATTTTTGTAATAACAAATTACTCAGGAAATTTAAAAAAAAAACTGTAAGCTCATTATGAGGCCCTAGTTACCAATGGGACAACTAATACTTACTGTCCATTTGCAGGTATACAAGCGCTGTCCCGGCCAACAGCTACTTCCTCAGCCTGAAACAAAAAGCAATCGAGAATTCGAGATAAACATTAGGCTTGATCTGCATGTTGAACTTAATACAGAGTAAATTGAAATGAATGAGTATGTTTGGAGTGGTAGCCATTCTCATTCAATGAAAGCGAAGGTAATTACAGAGTAGAAAAGGTTATCATACCTTCAACATATGATGTGGCATTATTAGAATGCCATAAATTTCAAAAACTCTCTTCCAACCTTTAAAAGTATTGCTAAAAAGGATTTGAAAGATTATGTACCGCTTTTTTAAACAAAACAGTTTTCAGCAATATAACACAAATTTCACTAGTGACAATTGACGAATACAAAAACAAAAGATAAAATAGTTAACCATCAGTTATTGACTAACCATACATCATGCACTTAGCAAAGTAGAAGCTGTAATTCATATAAACATGATATTTTTCTTGAAGGACATCACCACCGAATAATATAACTATATATTGTGTAAACACAAAACATACTGCTGGAGACGTCACAGAGGATAGGGAAAAAAGCCTATCTTCCGGTTGAAACTTCCTTGATCGTTTTAAACTGCAAGCAACCAACCATAGAAAGGGGGGAGTTAGGATGTTTTTATTTGGACTAATTTTGGTCCCACACTAGACCATAAGAGACTAGATTTAAACAAATCAGTTCAGTTGTAATATACACATAAACCAGACATCTACCAGACATCTACCAAACCATACAAGTTCAAACCAGACCAGACTTAAAAAGACTAGACCAGAAAATTTCAGTCCAAGTAAAAACGTATTTACACTAAGATTCAGAAGATTGAACAAAAACTGCAACAAAGCACCTTTACCAACAAAACAAAATTTAGACCTAAGCTCCACTCGCAAGCTGCAGAATTGGAATCTAACATGTACTAGGCCTAAGACCAAGTTATCCACTTTTAAAAATTAAGACTCTTCCCTTTCTTAAGAATTAACAATCCAATAACACAATATCTCAACTGGTTGAGAAGTTAACTTTCCTGTCTAGCCGTATTGGGTTAACCTCAGAATGAGAATCATGACACAAATAACCACCTAACCCCAAAAGATCTACCTACATTCACACATACAATTTCCACTATACAGCTAACCTTCAACTTATTTAGAATTATAGGTTAAAATAAATTAAAAGTTGAACAATATGTTTTTGAACTTTTTAAAAAATATTACTTTCAAGTATTAAAGTATTGCATTTTGGTATGTCTAACCTGTAAGTAAACACTTGGTTACATGATTTAAAGTTCAAACCAAACAAAATAGTATGGAGCAATAAGCACGCTCAAACTCAATAGTAGTTGAAGAGTGTACAGTGTAGTGCTTTTAGATGATGACAGAAACCCTTCAAAACCTTTCAACACATTCCCACATTGGCTTGGATCCTGCAAATAACTTGTCTCCATGTCGTACACCTACATATCGAACCCAAGTATGCACCATAGAAATAAATTAAAAATCAGTTCTGTTCTAAGCAACCATATTCATATAATCATATTCATAAATGCACACTGTTGTTAGACCTGCTTTTCAATGTTTTTGAGATCATCATGAAGTTTGGATTGTTTCGACAAATGCGCAGCGAGCACTGCTGGAGGATTTGAAGGTATTTGTTATCGTGGGAAGAACTTCTTATGAAGATTTCATTTTCGCAGGGTTATAGCATAGCATTTTGATAAATCGCCGTATATTAAAAACATTCACACGCCGGGGGTTAACGATTACCTTGTATGTCCATTCTTGAGTCCGATGTAAGATCACAGGCTGATCGACGGCAAGCGTATATCTCTGCGATTCATCTTCGGATTTCTCTTCTTCCGAGAGAACAGGACAAGATCACAGGGTTTTAGTTTTTGGCATCATGGATGTTTACCGCACGGATCTGACTCTTTGGCCCCTTCTCTTTCTCGGCTCCATCCGCATATAATAAAGCTCTAGTACCTTTTTGTAAAATGGGGTACCTATTACATATAATATATATATATATATATATTATATATATATATATATATATATATATATATATATATATATATATATATATATATATATATATATATATATATATATATATCAATAATATGTATATATTATTGACCACATTACTTTATTATTTTTAATTTAGATTTAAATAATTCAACTGCTACATTTCCATTGGTCCACGTAGACAAAGATATGATAACTTATAGGTATCATAGAATCTACCATAATTATATACTCCCTTTATTTGATTTCACGGGATAGAGATATTATTATTACATTATTTGATTGTGCTTCTCAAAATAATTATAAGTACGGAGTAATTTTTATAGAAATTGCTCTAAATAGGAGCAAAAACGTTTTGAAATTCCAAAATATGAGTATCATGTTTTTTATTCCCTAAATAGGAGTAATCCGCCAAGTTTGAAAAAAATGTCATGTTTTAAAGCCTAGTCATGTCAAACTTGGCAGAAATTTACTCATATTCAAGGAATAAAAAACATGATACTCCTATTTTGGAATTTCAAAACTTTTTTACTCCTATTTAGGGAATTTTCTCTAATCTTTATAGTTAATGTAACTCTAATATACAATTCGTAAGCTCAAATCAATAAAAACAAATATTGGAACATATCTCAAAATAATTAATTTTTATAGTTAATGTAACTCTAATTTTTAAGTTTTAACGAATAGTTTAATTAGGGAAACAAATAAGACTCTTGCAGAATAAAAAATCACTTAACCGTAAAATATAGGAGCATATCATAAAATCACCTAACGATTATAAACTTGAGCAAAACAACACATTATCTAGAATCAAACTATAATTGATTTTAGTTTCTATTCCTCTTAGAAAATGAGCAAAGCAACTATTTTGTGCTTTATCCTTGGAACCTTTTAAACAGCATCCATGAAGCATGTACCTATTGTCACGCCCCGGACCGCGTCCGAGCCACGTAGACAACCGCCGTACAACCCGATAAGAACAACAACAGTTCATCCCCATTGAGTTGTACAAGGCGTCCGATTGATTCTATTGCCAAACCGATTAGTAAACACATACAATCAACATCAATATCATAATCAAACAAATGCGGAAAATAATAAAATGTTTGATACTTAGCCACACGTGGCAAACACGGGCACGCAGGCCCCCAACTGTTTTAATGAAAACATTGTTCAAAAATCCATGAGCAGTTTATACATTTGAAATATGAATGGAAGCACGAACCACGTCTTCCTCCTCGAATGATCACCCTAGGCAAAGGTGCAGGTAGTAGGACTCTAGCCTCAACCTGAAAAATGTGAGGGCCCCCGGAGGGGTCAGTACTCCATAGAAGTACTAGTGACAAGCAGGCTATATGAAGAATAACTAATGTTTCAGACACGAGACCCAAAAATAGGGTGATATATACATATAGATGTCCCTCATCCACCCGATGATACATACTGTATATATATACTCGTAAAATACTCAACCCGTAGGTCATTTACCTTAAAGAGTCTTTTAGAGATAAAGTTACTACCTGACTTTTCTCACTCCTTTCCCGGTTACCTAGCTCACAAGCTATAGTCTACCTTTGATTCATACTACCGAGTGTTTTAGGATCATTTACCGTCCAAGGCACTCAACCCATCCTGTAGTATTTAAGATCATTTACCGTCCAAGGGTACTCGGCCCCACCTGGAGTATTCTGGATCATTTACCGTCCAAGGGTACTCGACCCCACCTGGAGTATTCTGGATCATTTACCGTCCAAGGGTACTCGACCCCACCTGGAGTATTCTGGATCATTTACCGTCCAAGGGCACTCAATCCCGAGTCTATTCTCTACCAAATCCTAACCTGGATATGGCTAACCTTTCATTCCTTTAACTATGGACAATGCCTAGCCCTATAGTCATATAACAGTCCTTAGGATCCAACGTGGGCGGGTCCCACCCGAACGGCCCACGTTACCCTACTCAAAACTGCCCATTCTGAGCTTAACCCAAGACCCGGTCGGGTGTCCAGCCTTACCCGGTCGGGTTGGGTGAGGCAGTAGTCCCTGGAGCCAACTTTACTTGAGACCCGGTCGGGTCTACACCCATACCCGGTCGGGTCTAGTGTGGCAGTGGCTTCTGGAGCCATTTTTAATCAAAACCCGGTCGGGTGTTCACCCATACCCGGTCGGGTATCACCTTAGTCTTGGCGGTCAACGCTCGTTTGACCGCCCAAACGAAGTCCGATTAACGTGAAATTTTATACACTTATACTTCTTGACGTCCTTGATCCAAAAATACCATTTTGGATCCCTGGAACATCACACATAAGAAGTTATCACATTTTTTATCACCAAACCTACATAACATGCTTTTCAATTATGTTTTATGTATAATAATGGCATAAGCACACACTTGGTTATCTTTAATCATTCCACAAAACATATTCCTGATTACTTTAGGTAATCTCATGCCTCACGCAAAAGTTATAAAGCATAAAGCCATCTTCTCACCTTAATGAAGCTTATGAAGTTCTAGCCTTCCCGATTTAGCTCCGACGAAACTCCGGCGAACTTCAACGAACTCTGGCGACAACTCCGGCGACCTTTTCAACTCCGTGAAAGTTCCTTGAATACCTTAGACAAGTTACTAACAAGGTTTTATCATCATAAAACCCATAGTAATACAAATAACCTCAAAAAAGTTATTTTCCGGCGAACCGGTCACTTTGGCTTCTAAGTCCGTTCTTGGACTTAGAACTACCTTCCAACCCCTCTTTCTACACATCCCAACGTGTAGAACATTACTAGGGTGTGAAATATGATTGAATAATCATAAAAGAGTATAGAAGAACAATAAATGGGATTAATGGAGTCCCTATCTTGCTAAACACAAGTTTTCCTCTCCAAAACCAACTTTTCCTCTTCTCTTTTCCCCCCTTCTTCCCCCTTAGCTCAAGTGCGTAAATGGCTGCAAAGAATGGAGTATTGCAGAGCTTCTCTCACCTCTCTTGTGGGATGGACGAACTGATTGGAGGTGGGTGGAGGGAACCCCTCACTTTTGTCTCAATAGCCCAAAATAATGTGAGGAGGGGCCCTTGGTTGGTTTGATTGGTCTCCTTACCAATCAGCCTCCCATTGCCATGCCTTTCATGTGGCTCCCCTTGATGTTTTCCAGACCAAGGACGTGGGTTGGCCCCCACTCATGTGGGAGGTCAACCCTTTGTGTACCCGAGTGTACAACCGGTCCCGAAAGTTGTATTTTCCGGACTGTTTTAAGTATATTTTATTTTATCGGGTCAAATAAAATATAACACTCGTTCCCAATCCTTATTGGGCCTTAGAATCATTATGAAATCCCCAACTTTAATTCATAGGTTCTCGGAATCCCTTTTTGGACTGTTATCTGATAAATTGCCGATACCGATAATTTGGCCCGTTTGACCAACCGGTCAACCTTGTGCCATTGTCATGGCCCAATTAGGATATCCACCACCATATACATATTATCTAGTCCAAGATTAATATAATATGTGGTCCCGATAATATCGGGCGGCCCCATATCCGGTGTGGGCCCCACGTGAATTTTACTATTCACGTAATAGAAATGATAAAAGTTTACAATCACGTAAAAATGCTTTTATACATTTCTCAAGGTTCAATACATAATTTGGTACAGTACAAATACTCGGGGGCGGTGTTACAAGTTCTACCCCCCTTATTTGGGATTTCGTCCCCGAAATCCATGTGTCTAATCAAACAGAAATGGATATTGTTCCCTCATTAGGGTCTCCACTTCCCACGTTTGCTCCTCGACACGATCACTCTTCCAAAGTACCTTTACCATCGACACCTCTTTGCTCCTTAGCTTCTTTACCTGTCGGTCTATGATCTTTACCGGCTGTACCGTATAATGTAGGTCCTCTCGGATTTCTACCGGTGGTTTCTCAAGAATATGTGACGGGTCCCGCACATACTTCTTGAGCATAGAAACATGAAATACATTATGAATCTTTTCTAACTCTGGAGTCAACTGAAGTCGGTAAGCTACAACCCCAATCCTTTCAAGGATTTTGAACGGGCCTATGTAACGTGGGTTAAGCTTACCCCGACTGAGGAACCTGATGATCCCTTTCCAAGGTGATACCCTCAAAAATACCTCGTCACCAACCTCAAACTCCAACGTCCTTCGACGTTTATCAGCATAGCTCTTCTGTCGGTCTTGGGCAGCCTTGAGCCTATCCTGTATGACCTTTATCTTCTCCTTAGTGATCTCGACTAACTCGGTGCCCTCAAGCTTAGCCTCGCCGACCTCGTCCCAACACAATGGTGTCCTGCATTTCCTCCCATACAATGCTTCGTATGGAGGCATGCCTATACTTGCCTGATAACTGTTGTTATAGGCGAATTCCACCAAAGCCAACTGATTGTCCCAGCTCCCCTGGAACTCCAAGGCACATGCCCTCAACATGTCCTCCAAGATCTGAATCACCCGTTCAGATTGCCCATCCGTTTGAGGATGAAACGCGGTGCTAAACCTCAATTTCGTACCCATGGATTCCTGGAACTTAAGCCAAAACCGTGATGTGAACCGTGGGTCTCTATCCGATACTATAGTAACCGGAACCCCATGCAGTCTCACAATCTCATCTGTGTACAATTTGGCCAACCGCTCGAGCGTATAAGTAGTGTTGATGGGTAGGAAATGAGCGCTCTTGGTCAGCCTATCGACTACCACCCATACTGCGTCGTAGTTCCTAACCGTCCGTGGTAGACCCACCACGAAGTCCATGGTAACATGCTCCCACTTCCATTCTGGAATGGTAAGTGGTTGCAATAACCCTGCCGGGTGTTGGTGCTCTGCCTTAACCTGTTGACAAGTAAGGCAACGGCTCACGTATTCTGCAATCTCTCTCTTCATCCCCGACCACCAGTAGCTTTCCTTCAAGTCCCGGTACATCTTTGTACCGCCCG